TGTTTTTCTTTTCTTGTTATTTGTGTCTGAGAATGTTAATTTAATAAAAATCTATGTTTGAACATTCTGTCCAATGAGAATAAGAAAAAAAAAATGACATCTTAAATATTAAAATCATGTGCAGAAAAATATTCTGATTTTTTTGTTTTTGAATATTGAATCTTAATGACTCTATGCAGTACCAATGATAAAAAGTGTGTATATATATATATGGGAGTAAGATGAAGATAATTAGTAAGATAGAAAATAGTTTATATGCGGATATATTTGCTTATGTTTTCTTTAGTATATATATCATATTAATAAATAATATTATGGAAGGTCATGGAATAATATGTCAACACTTTATTGAATAATATTGACATAATTTATCTTATAATTAAGCAATTTAAGAAATAGATTCTATAAGTATGAGTAGGTGCACGGAATCTAGAGTGGTAAAATTGTAAATACATGGGGAAAAGTGAATCAATGCACGTACAACTTGAATTTTTCTCCTAGATAGAAACCATTTTGTATGTAACATAAATAATATTCGCTTATCAAATAGAAAATAACCAGTGTAGTTACATATTTTCAGGCATGACAAGAATTTATATAAAGAACAGATTATAACAAAAACTAGTTATACACAGTATAGAATAACTTTATTTATTATATTACAGTCACAATACACGCCTCGAACCTATAGTCAACACTATAATTTTACAAGATTGTCTGATATGTTTACCTATGCAAATTTTTCAAATATCCTAATTTTCCAGCGATCACTGCTGTGCAACTCTCCTTCAGAAATGGTACTATTCAATCATATTATCTAATTAAATCTGTCGTACTGGAATTGATACTTGATTTAGATTACATTTTAAAGTAATATCATTCTAATGCTTTGTAGAGATTTATCTGCTTGTCTAATTCTTCAGAATAGAAAGAAATTCTATTTCTTATCAATAGTGGGTATTTATAAAAGTATGTTAACATCTTCTATACACGTAATTATATATTTTATATTATATTTCAATGTAAGTCATGCCGGCAATGATCTATTTTGTTTCTTTTTTAAATTAAATATTTAAAAATATAAATTGTTTCTAAAAAAATCTTTTCCTTGAGCCTTAATGACGTCATAGTGCAACTATTTTATATCATGTTTTATTAACAATATGTGACATGAATAGATCTTTTCTATTATTAAATTCTGCATCGTTAAGTCTCGTTTGACTAACAATCGTTTCGTCTCATTGATACTGTATATGTTGACGTCAGTTTATAGTTTTTTTTATAGTGCATCTCTTTTTTCATAAGAAGTCAAATATCATATTTCTGATAACAAATGCTAAATAATAAATAAATAAATCCAAAAGACATTATTTCTCAATAGAACTAAAAATTGATTTATAAGACGACCATCTGATTATATAATCTAAATGACTGGAATAAAAAGCTTTTTCAATACAAGACTCAATGTTTTGTTTTATATGCATTTCTAAGTTAATTTATATTGTAACGAACCAAGACGATCTTGATTGTCATAAATTAATTGTCCTATTTTTTTCTATAGAAAGAACTTATGTTATAAATATTATTTTTTATTTCACAGGTGTAGAACAATTAGATCATATCAGTAATATTCTTACTTACAATAAATAAGAAATAAACGATCGTAAAAGATAGAAATAATCACTATATGTCGCTCATTTGTAGTTCAATCAATAAACTTTAAATTAAAAATAACTGAAAGATGTATGTTAATTAAAAATAATGAACACATTCTATGCATATTAATTTTTCAATAAGATTCATAACAATATCAACAACAAAGAATTATCGTTCCGCATACTTTATTTCGTTGCTATGATGTAGAAGTCAATTAATAAGAATAAAAAAAAGAACCTCAATATTTATTTTATTTAACATTCTATTGATGAAATAAAATATTATCAAAAGAATTAAATGCAGAAACTCTGATATAACTTAATTATTATGTCATCTCGTCAACAGTGGTGGATCTAGGATTTTGGAAAGGGCGGGGGCGATACTTGGGGGGGGGGGGGGGCGGTGATTTTGGCTAAAAGCTATTTTTTGAGTACAATCGAAGTAGTGTGAATCTATTTTTTCGTTCATTTTTGCTGTACAAATCAAAAAAAAATTCAGAAGGGGGACGATCAACCCCATCGCTCCTCGCTAAATCCGCCACTGCTCGTCAAGAGTTTTTGAGACATGTTTTCATTTATAATAAGACACCTGAGTTTTCACGCAGTGTTTTATCTAGGTTTTTCCTTTCGAAAGTGCGATAGCGATTTCCGGGAGGGCACAAACCTAATTTCTGGAGGGAAAATACATAATAAAGGCAAAAAAATGCAATCTTCGGGAGGACGCCGCCATCTCTGCCCTCCCTCTAGATAAATCACTGTTTTAACGATACTCAATCGTATCATGTTTAGTTTCATTGGAATGTACGCAATACAATTGCTGATAAATTCCTGAGACGATTAGATTTCTATTCGAATTTATTCACTTATCTAGAAGTTTATATTAGATTTGACTTTTAAAAATTTCCTTTTGTAAACACGCGCGTAGATATATACTAATTTTTTTTCTTCCCTAAAAAGTAATGGTAATCAGTTTTTTAACCTATCGTTTATTATCTATTCTTATTGGTATTCTTTATCCATCATATCAAACATATAAATCTATAAAATATCAATATTATGATCAATATCAATCATTATTATGTTATTGGATATTATACAGTTTATTTCAAAGTTTTGAATTTATTTTTGATCAAATATTTTCATTAATTTTACCATTTTATTATGAATTAAAATTAATATTTATTTTTTGGTTAACTTATAAAAATATTTCACAATTATTATTTTATCATTTTATTTTAATTTATTTAAATAAATATGAAAATGATATTGATTATTTATTTAATAATACAATACATCGTTTAACAGAAATATTTTGTAAATTTGTCGTTATAATACTTAATCAACAACGAACAAATAATCAATTAAATCAACAAAATGAACATATTCGAGTAAAAACAAATTTTGCTTCACAATATCGAAAATTAAATTCTATTCAACGATCATAATATAGATTTATAAGAGTATTAAGCATTGATGTTTCTATTGCTCATATAAAAAAGCATCCGTGATGATATACTTTTGTATGAGATTAATTGAATTAAATTCATTGTATTTTTCTTATCTGTTTATATTTGAAAAACTTTAACTTCTGTACATTATAAACTCACCAATAAATATATAAAAAAAAACAATTAATAGAAAAACTAGATTATTTAATCTTCATCTTCATCATCACTCCATTGATCTCGATTTAAAATTTGTGCTAATGTTTTCGTTGCTTCATTTCTACGTTCTGGATTTTTCATGGAAATTTCATAATCTTCCTGTTGTTTTTTAACAGCACCCCAGACAAGTATATCATCCGAACATGAATAGAGTTCGACAGATAAACGATTATATATACAAGTACTAACAGGCATTAAATGTCCGCTTAAAGTTGTTAAACGTTGTCCAGTTAAAATATCATAAACACGAACATATTTTCCACAGGGTACATAAACAACACTTTTTGTTCGATCATGTTTCATTTGTGCACATGCAATTGTTAAAATACGTACATTATTTGTCGTTATTGGTCCATAATTAACAAGTAAACGTTGACCATTATTTACATTCCATAAATACATAAGATCATCTGCACCAACAGTTAATAAATGTGTATTATCTGGTAGAAATTCTAATGATTTTACACCACGATGATGAGCTACTGAAGATACTGTTGTTTGACGAGATTTTATTTGTTCATTATTGGTTAGAATATTATCACGATCAAGTGACATGTAATGTGCACGTGAACTACGAACATCAGTAAATAGCACGCGACCATCAACTCTAATAAAATAAAAAAAAATAGAAACTATCAGATTGAATCTTCGGACGATGTTGAATATTAGACAATTTCTCAGTATGTTTTTTATGTACGTAAAAGATCATGAATATACTTTACAGAAGTGCAGAATCTTCCCAAAAACCAAAAATTTCCCTCCCTGGGAAAATTTTATCAAAAAATTCCCCGAAGTAATTTCTGAAAAATTCCCTCCCCGCGCGGGGGCGCACGAGGAAGATTCTGCACCTCTGATACTTTAAGATTCGATTGGATCTGAATACTATTATGCAATATGTTTCTACTTCAATTTTTAAACGATATATAAAACTTTTACAATTACTCCGCCCTTTTAACTCATTACTATTTCTCTTAATGAAATTAACTCAAAATAGTTGAGCACGAATGTTTTGGATTTAGTCGAAAAAGTAATATTATTATTAACAGACTAAAAATATTTAATTGTACATTATTTTGATTAGTAATATAAAACGTAGAATAGTTTACGTACCCTCCACTTGCTAATAAGTTTGGATTGTTATTAAACCATTTAACTAGACATATTCCTTTTTTAGTATGTGAATGAATTACATGTGAATCGGAACCGGATCGAATATCAATTAAACGTAAATCACCATTTTCATGAGCTACAGCAATAACTGATGCATTTGCTGTTGATGGCATATGAGCAGAATAAGCAAAATTGCTAAATTCATATTCATCAACCATCTAAATATGAAATATATGTTTGAATTTATTTCTAAATATATATATATACATTTCTATTACTTTCACTTGATTTGTATCCCATATTTTAAGTTTTTTATCTAGACCAAGAGTTACAAATAAACCATTATCATTTGGATACCATAAGAGCGAACATATATTATGTGTATGATGATCTCGATTAGAATTTCGATCAATTTGAAATACAATTGGATGTGTAGTGACAAGACTAGACGGTAACATATCATGACAACATATATGTCCATTAGAACCACCAGATAACAGGCTAAAATAAAGTTTTAATTTAGATTGTTTTTTTTCGAATGAATTTAATCTTACTATCGAGATTCAGATTGATCGAGATTCATAGTAGATATTGATGAATGATGATAAGAAGTTAAATTGCGATATTTACATAGAGTAAAATCAGCAAGACGTCGTGTTTGTTCAATATGAATAAAAGAAGTTTCGAGACCATATTCACGTGCACGCAACAGATTTGCACGATTTGGTACACGATATTTATCCATAACTACTCTTAAAAAACATAATTCAACAATATATACATGATTTATGAATCTATCGATAAGAAATATCCAATGGAAAATTACTTTTTTCTTTCTATATCTCTCTATGTTAAATCAATCCTTGTTCTTTTGAACATAAGTTTTAATAAAACCAAAATTTCATTCTTTAAAATGCTACACATACTAAAAGTATCGGAATGTTAATAAAACTATATTTAAGTGTCAAAATTCATAAATTATAATAGAAAACTTTTTTGGTCACGCTCACACCAATTTCTATTCTAGGGGTATTTTCTTTACAAATATTCGTCAATCAAGAGAACGTTATTTTGTTCATTTATTGATGAAATATTTTGAAATTCATGTCAATTCTATTATTGGTTAAAATTATCGTTCAATAAAAATCAATAGATTTTAAACTAACAAATTTAAATCTTTTTTTTTAATATTCTTATCTTTTATTTTTAATCAATTTTCGTTCTTTCTTTATAAAATAAAAATTATCAGATGTCACTAGAAATCATTGTCTTTGTTCTCATTAACGTTCAATTTTTTTCTCTCTCTTCATTCTTTATTTTATTAAATTAAATGGCTCTACATCTACTCGAAGCTACTTTAACTCAAGGTCCATCTTGTTCAGGTGATGATATAGCTGAACTTGAAGTTCATGTACGAAATGAAATCGAACGTTATATTCAATTGGAAATTGAACGAGAATTATATGAACTTGTTCAAACAACAACGAATGATACATTATTAACTCCAACAATATGTTCAACGTATCTTTCAGGTGGTGAATTAAATAATGAGACATCAAAAAAACGAATTAAAAATGATAGTGATGCTGCTAAATCAAGTGCGAAAACAAGTATGGAACTAGATCAACAATTAACCGAATTAAAAAATAAATATTTAACAGTAAATTTTTTTTTTCTTGAAAATTTTTTCAATTGCCTAAAACTTTTTTTTTCTTTTATTTTATAGAAAATTGCTGGACCATTATCAACTTTAGAAGCTTTAAAACTTATTGTTAATAAACAAACAAATGAAAAACTTCAATTAGAAAATGAAATTACTAAACTTAAACAATTATTTAATGAATATAATCAATATGATGAATATTCAACAAAAATGTTAGAAAATATTAAAATTCTTAATCAAACACAATTAGCTGTTTCGAAACATGAATCATTAATAGATTTAAATAATCCAATAAATTCCAATGATAATCAAATTGATATTGATCAATTTGAACAATTATCAACTTTATTATTACATAAAACACTTAATTTACCTTTAATTAATATGAAAGCTAAACATTTACATAAACCAGAAAAAAAATAAAAAAATGTACATTTTTCTTTTGTTAAATAAATAAATATTCTTATAGGAATTAGATGATACCTGATCTTTTTAAATTCAATAAGATACTAGTTATTCAATCGCGGAATGAATTTTGAGTATCACAAAATTAATAACTGTTGTTAAGTAAGGTAACGATATCAGTTAGTTGTGCTGATAATGTTTTGTATTGTGTTTGAGAAGAAATTTCTTTATATTGCCTACCAGGAATAGTATCGATGTGTTAACTTCTTCTCTATTCAGATGACTAATCGAGATTGTACCGTAGAAGACTTGTATGAAATATCGATAAATTTAGTTATTTGAACTGCTAGCATATAACTCTAATCATTTAAATATTTGTTTTTCGAATGTCTATAAGTATTGCTGTGTATGGACGATATCATATATTTGATACAAAGGATTTATTGATCGAATAGTAGAGAACTATTAAGACAGAATCTCACAAACAGGCAATGCAAGTACATCGTATTTAATCAATATAATATAATGGATTCTAGTCTCTATCTATCAACACAAACATTTGAAGCGCTTTCTTTCACAGTTCAGAAATTAGTAATTTTGCATCATACTGGAAATCAAATCAATAATAAAAGCGTAAAACAGCTCGTCAATACATCACAAATAAGTTGTATGCCCTATTAGTTAACTAAAATGTCATCACCCAACATTAGAGACTTGCACGGAGTCATTTTCGGAGTCATGTAAATTTCATATCAATAATTCAACTTTAACGTCAGAAATTATTTAAGTTCATAGTTTTGTTGTCCGACATTTTCTCTACAAAATTATGTCTTTTGAAGGATAGATCAATGCTTTGTTGAACCTCACCAACACAAAAGAAAAGTCGGAGTCACTTTCTACTCCGATTTTTTCTGTATTTTATTTTGGTTTGTGAGACTCGATAAGACGTCTGTCGATCCTTCAAAATACGTAGTTTTATAGAGAAAACGTCGGACAGAAAAAGTATGAAATTAAATAATTTCTAACGATAAAGTTGAATTATTGATATGAAATTTACATGACTCCGAAAATAACTCCGTGCAGGTCCCTACCCAACATAATTAAATACTCTTGTACAATTTCTGTGGAACTTGATCTGAGAAAAACCTTAAATAAATATCGGAACAAAGTTATTTTATAAAAATGAGACAAAACTATATTTTTATCTCTAAAAAATGTGTTTCATGCTAAATTGACTTGTTCATTCAAACATATATTTCATAAACTATCCAATGGAATACAAGGATGAATACATAAGACGTTTAAAATGATACGGCTGTTACTGTGTATGTTAATTAATTAGTAACTCATTTAATCAACATTGTCTTCAGTAGTAAAAATTTACTAGAGAACCCGCAAACGTCAGACATTGTGATGTTAGCATATAATAGTTTTAATTTGAAAGTTTTCCAGACAAATTTTGTTATTATGAATAACATATTTGATGACTTATGACAGTTCAATAGTTCCTGTGTTAAATTATTTCAAGGTTGATCTATGCATTTATTTCATCACTGTAAAAAAAAGACAAAAATAAAAAGAAAAGAAATATTTTCAACAATCTTTCTACGACTAGTTCCTCATAACAAGCAAAGGATTATTAATAATAAAACTGATATTGATGATCCATATGCTTGATTCTTTTGAGCGATCAATTCAGTTGTAACTATCTTCAATTGAGTGTCATTAGTCGTCGTAAAGATCGAAGGTGTTGACAAATTAATTATCGTAGACAGTGTTGAAGAAGGTCGACGTTCTGTTATAGATTTCATATGCTTCGTTGATTGATTTAATTCTAAAATTAATACATACATAATCAAGGTTTCATTCTAATAAAATATCTGCAAACCTTTAATTATAAATTCAGCATGATTAACACCTAATGAATTTCTTGCTCGACATACATATGGACCAAATAAAGATGGATGACTTAACTAAAATATAAAATAAGATTTCTCATGGACAAAAAAGGTCAATAGAATAATCTTACATAAATAGTCTTTGTTAATTGTCTACATGTTTCATTAATAAATCCTTCGAATTGATCTTTAACTCCTTTCTTAATTGGAACAGCTTTTTTTGGACGAAATATATCAAAAACTGTTGATGAAGGTATTGAACAAACTTGACAGGTAATCGTTGCTGAATCATACAAACGGAAATAAGACAAATGAAACGGAACTGTAACCATTGGTTTATCTAAATTTTTCATCATACATTCAGGATGTTAAATAAAAAGAAAATGACGACTTACATTTAACATAAAGAAGAAATTGTCGATTGACAGTACTTAATGTGTTACTTGCTGAACAATCGACTCGACCAGAATCATAACGTGAAATATTACGTAAGATAAGAACACTTTCATTTTTACCCTCAACTACAAAAAATATAGATAAAGTAGTGTTACAAAATGTCAAATTTTCTTTTTTTTGTTTTTGTTCCATACTTGTTGCAACTATGCCTGGCCTAGATAAACCGTTGACATGCCAAATAATAGTAGGCGTTGGATGACCAGTTGCAATACATGAGAATTCAGCATCACGACCTTCACGAACTGTCATATGCATATGTTCGGGAGTATGTGAAATAATTCGTGGTGGGACTAAAATTAGATTTCGAAATTGGGTCTCAAGTGTAGAGACAGATATATAATATTTCTCGATAAACACTAATATGATAAACGTAATTTTTCTTAAATTATTCATTGAATCATTTAGTAGTTACATTTATTATTGTCAAGAGACTATGTTGATAGAGTTCTTTCATTGAATAGTCATTTGTTAAGGTGTATATGTCATACTTAAAAAACAATTAGCTTATATCTATTGAATGCACAGCTGGTGTTATATTTTGAAGGTAAGTAACTCTTACTATTACCCTTATTGACACTAAATGAGCGTGTGAACATACGTTGATGGATAAAAAGAAGAAGAAGAAAAAAAAGAGAGAACTGAGGAAGTGAATAGGTTAAATGAAGTGAACAATCACCTAGCAGATAAATTATTAATTAGAAATAGAACGATAAACAGCAGACATACATATCTTACAAGTCATCATGATATGCTATTTCATTCAAAAAAACTAAATAAACGGAAATTATACATTTAAATTTTTTTCTTCTGTTGCATGCAAAGAACATATTATATAATTTTATAATGTCAATTCTACTTCTTTTATATTTATCTATGTCTGATGAGACCTCCTGTTGAACATAAGAAGAAAAAAGAGGAGGGACAATGCAAACAGACACAAACATATAAGATCCAAATGTAAACGTCTAAGATGGATTGTTTCTGTCTCTTTTCTATATACGTATTAACAACACTCGAGATGAGAGAAGGTCAGTCAACATACACCTCAGCTTTATGTTTGTTTTGTCAAAATAAGGATCAAAACAAAGATATGATCATATAAAAACATACATTATTGTCTAAAGAAAGACCAAAAAATAAAAATAACAACAACACTTACTGAGTACATCAAGTAAAATTTCATTCAATGTAATATCACCTTGAATACATCGATATAATCCATGATCTTGTTCTTCAATATTTATTATACGTAACGTTCTTTCTTGACGATCATTATTATCCATTGTTAGAATACTCAAACGAGAATCTCGTACTGTTATAACAGAATCAAGACTAACAATATCTGCTTGATCATCACGTATCCAGACGATCTAAATAGAAAAATTTCGTGCTGAGTATATATACATTCACCAACTGTTCATAACTCATGATGTCATTATTATTATTGTTATTATTATATACTACTCTAGGAAGCTGTTCTCTCGATCTTTTTTTTTTGTCTTCGAATATATAAACACACTTGTCTTCTTTTCATATTTACCTTTGCAGGATTTATTGATTCGAGATTTTGATTGACGACTGAACAGTGCAAGTCAACAGTACTAGATAGAACTGCTTGAATTGTTTCTAATTGATATGTTGGATAAGATTGTTGAATTATAAAAATAATAATAACGACAACAGACAACATTCGATAGGCATCGACGATTAAAATAGTTTTATTATATTGTTTGAATTGACATATAAATAAATTCTTTTTGAAAATATGATGAACAACGGAAATACTTCTCAACACAACAAATCGACTTTCTCGTTTTATTCTTTTATATATATGAATTGTAATAAGAGAAAAGAAATCAAGTTGATTTGTTTCAAGTGGGGAAAGGATAACTTTTGCTTTCTCTATTCTCTCTCTCTTGAACGAAAAAGAAGACAGCAAGAGAGAGAGAGAGAGAAGGAAAGAAGAAAAAAAAAAGAAAAAGAGAAACAATTTCTTTTCTTTTCTTTTCAATGACAGCATCATATACTATCAATTCTTCTGGTATTCATCATACTAGTTTTCAAAAGCTCATTAGAATATCACTGTACAGAGAAATAAATGATGACTTCATTGAAAACAATGTTTCTGTTTTCAATTGAATGATTAATGAACCTTGTTTCATGATAAGTATTTGGCATGAACATATATGTTTGAAAAAAGACGATGTGTTCACGGACAGTTTAACATCATGTTTAGTTTGACTTGACTCAGATCAGCATTTTATGAGTAATTGATTTTCAAAGTTTCTCTTCTCTCTCTCTCTTATGTCGTGTCGACACATAATTCCAATTTGTTGTATACATATATATATATATAGTGGTGGCGGCGACTGCGACGGAAACTTAATGCAAATAGTGATGACTATAGGGACGAGCTAATGAGAACGTGTACAGACGGACCAAAGCATACTGCTACTTAAATGGACTTAACGAGAAAAAAGGAGATTGACAAACAAAAATAAATGGGCGGAGACAATATGAGAATCATTTTTTTTTGTTTAAGAATAATAACCATCTGTACAAATGTTCATTTATATTTAAGCTGTAGATACAAGAGTAGCTACTAACGTTTAAAATATCCATATCAACACTCACTGTCAATTGATTATATCATCAAATATATGCCTGTATACAAGCAAACATTTTAAAATGAACTTTGAAGAGTTAATTTAGTATATGTGTCATCGATCTGATCGATGAATAATATATGAATAGAAAGAAAAGTCTTTCATTCTAAATGAGCCGTTGAAAAAGTCTGACATTGACATGACACATATGAAGACGATTTTAAGCTGACGCAATCTATCAAATTAGCAATTGTTAATGATAGAAGTATTTTTCTAACCTTGAACTGTAGACAATGAACTATTACCTTGTTTTCTCTCTTCACACAGATCTATCTTAGTATGTGTGATTTTACAAAACATATTTTCATAATAGATTAATATTGAACTTGTGTTTCCTTTTTCAATCACATTTAACTGTTTCTCTTAATCTATATATATCACATCGGGGCATATCATTGATGTGAATGACTTCTTTTTTTATGTAATAGTTCGTCGTAATGATTCACGTTTGATTAGACACATATAGTGTAGTAATTTAATTCGCCGCTTGCTCTTGTCTTAGGAACAAATATTTCATCCATTGTGCTTCAATAAGTTCATGTATGTGCTTCATAGAAAGGACTGATTCGCTAGATCTTAATATAACACATGATAAGTGTCTACTCAAGTGGAAAAAGAAAGAAAGTTATAGTATATAGAATGAAACCGATCGGATACCTATAAAAAGTCTATTCATTATATTTTCTATACACACAAGTTGATGCTCATTTTCTTTTCTTTCGATTTCCCTCTTGACGTGCTAATTAAACGAAAAAAAAAAAGAAACTATATGTGTATATATATATAGAACAGATAAAGAATTTTCGAAGATGGAATGCCGGTTTGCGGAAATAGAGCATTGAGAATAAATAATTAATAACATGTAGACAATCATTAACACAATTAATGCGGTAGTTCGCATCAATACTATTAACAAATGACTCAAGTCGACTTTTTTTCTCTCAAAGAAAATCGTTTTTAATTGCATATTTTTATCGTAAAACATTAGTATTAATTGCATCATCTATCAAAAAGAAATTGATTATTATTGTTCTCATATTACATTTTTTTTGTGACCAACTGTTGTTAGGAAGATGACTTTGATAAACAATCAATAAATAGTAATCATCATTATTATCAATCTGACATAATCAGACGGGATTGCATGATAACATACATAGAAAGTCTAATCGTTTTTTGTTTTGTTTTAGTCTATATAATATATATTAGTGCTTAAATAAAGTTAAGTTTCAATAATTTATTCTATTATATGCTGAAAGGATCTTTTTTTTGTTTTAAAAATTTTATTCTCATATTTCGAATGTTCTCATTTGATTAAGAGTATGATCTGAAAGTTATTTATAAATATTTGAAGAAATATTTTAATAAAAATGTGACATGAGAATATAGTATGTTCAGTTGACCTTCAGTGTCAATCTTATTAAGCAGATGTTACAATGCACTGAAGCAGAACAGTAGAATTCAAGAAATAGAGTAATTTGAAAAAGAAAATGTAATTATTTATTTTGTTTTAAAATAAATACTTAGATAAAAACGAAAATTTTTCTTTACACTATTTATTCTGAATGAAAATAATCACATTAGAGCAACAGAAGTTGCTTTTATGTAAATTGAAATATCTGCTATAACTATATTTAGATTTTTAGACCGAGATATGAATATATTTACTCATAGCAGTCTTCTCTTTTTTTTTGACAAAGCTTTTATATTGACACGGATTATGAATACAATGTTATTAACTTTACCAATTTGCACACTTTAATGACTGATATTCCCCTGGATAAAGATTTTCGAATAGTTAATATCTATAATACCAAACGAACTAGAGCGACAATTTCTTCGATTTGAACAGACAAGTGCAAAAATAAGAAGAAGAAAAAAAATCAAGTCTAGTATATGTTTTTTTTCTTCATGGTTGTCATATTAATTTTGTAGTTATTCTAAAAATGGATGCTCGTAGAACAAGTTAATGGAAAAATAGTTACATATTTGTTAGAAAAGAGGAAATTGTTAATTTAGAAAAAAAAAACAAGATAGATTAGTAATTACGAAAGATCATTGATCAGATAGGAGATTCTCGAGAGAATTCAAGTTATAATCAATAAAAAGTGATCATTTTACAATATGTAAAAGTGATAGAATGTGCCAAATGAACAGTTAACAAATAAATCTCTAAAGTACATCTCAAGGTGAATATGGATATGATGAGCTTTGGATTAATACTTGTCATCATGTCAGATTAGGTACCGATCATTTTACATTGATGTCATGCGATGATATGAATAGGACAAAAGTACATCAAGAAATCTAGGTGTTGACAACATATATATATTACAATGTTTAGAGACGTTAAAATACGAGATACTATTTTTATTTTAAGCTCAGATAATATAATAAAAAATACACATGTTTACAAAAAATGCGTGTTTTTTTATATAGTTAATTATCACATTTACATGCTCCTGTTGGACATTTACAATCTTCACATTTGCATCGTTCATTGCCACATTTATTTTCTACAATAAAATAAAGATATTAATTGATAAAATATTACTATATATCAAAGAAATCTTACTAGATTTATTACATTGGCAACTTGAATCACATGAACAGGTACCTGTTTTAGTGCAATCTTCTTTGCATGAACATTTTCCAGCTAGATAAATGAAAAAAATAAATGAAATATATTTTTAACAAAATAATTATTTACCTTGACAATTGCACGGCATTGTATTTTATTAGTAGAGAAAATATATGTAGAATATTCTTAGATGTTTATTTTACTGTTTATATATTCATAAAGTCAGACAAAGATGTTCATAAGAAATACGGACTAGTGATATATACATAAACGGGGGTGCTAACCGAGAGAAAAGAATAGAAACAAAAAAAGGGGGGAGGGGGAAGAAATGTAATATAGGAAAGAAGATCATGTGATAAGTGTTATCATCATCGTACACGACGAGTTGTGTCTGTTTATTTTGTTATATAGGTCATCCATTGTATTTTCATAATAAAAAGAAAATTTTCACGCGCGTTTTTAAAACATTTTTGTAAATTGTAAATTCATGTGTTACTTTCAATGTATGATAAATGATACATTCGACTAATGTTTCAAATTCTAATGATAGTACTGATAAATATTCACGAATATCAAAATCATATCATAAAAGAAAAAAATACCGAAAATTTCATCATAAATATCGATTAGGAAATAATTTGAATACATCATCTAAAAGAAATGATTCTGATCAATCATCATTAGATACAAATCAAATTGATAATAAGATACCGTTTGATACAAGTTCTATGATACGAGATCATTTATATATTTCTATTATTGGTCTTCTTTGTTTTTTTCCAACCGGTATTTTTGGTTTAATACGTGCTATGCAAGCTTATGAAATGAAAAGACCATCATCTCTTGTCTACTGGCCAAAATTAGCTGCTATTTATGGACGACATGCTCTTCGTTGGGCTATTCTTTCAATTCTGATTGGAACTATCCTATGGATTATTTTTATTATTTATCGTCTTTTACGAGAACAACATCCTCTTTGGTAAAAGTTTCAACATATGAAAACAAATGTAATCATTAAACGTTTTGATTATAGGAATGCATACTATCAAGAATGAGGTGCAGAGTTTTTATCTTCTATATAAAATATTTCATTTAACATAGCATATTTCTATTGCGTAAAAACTCTCATCTTGTATTTTTGTTTAGAAAAATAAGAAGACACTAAATTAATCTCAATCTTTCAGTTAAATAAGAGATAATTACTAGACAAACAGTTTTGCTTTTTAACACAAATCATTGAGTGACACAATAAATGTTTTTATTCTGTAAAAAATTTATCTTTTTTTACTAACTGATACATATCATCAAAATTGAGATGTAATGTTGGACAATACGCAAGAAATTTAGTATTAATTGAATTTCTTAGCTTTAAAGTTTTGTATATAAGTTTATTTATATTTTAAAAATAATCATTACAAGAATAAAAATGATTAATCTTTAGAAGCATTTCTCTGAAAAAAATTAATGTTTATGATGATTTTTCACATGTACATGTTCCTGTTGGACATTTACAATTTTCACATTTGCATCCTTCTTTGCCACAACCTTGATCTAGTTAATCCATTTGAAATAAGTTATTAAAAATAAATTTTACAAAAATACTTACTTGTTTGATGACAATGTTCGCAACTGGTATCGCATGAGCATGTGCCTGTTTTAAGACAATCTTCTTTGCATCCACATTTTCCAGCTAAAGAAAATTATGTGTTTAAAAAATAGAACCACTCTAATACCATACTGCTTACCTTCACAAGGACACGGCATTGTATTTAACGTAAAAAGTTGTATGTGATGAGTATTTAGAAATCCTCTGCTATTTATAGGGTCAAAAGATATCATTCATTAAATAGTTGAGAAAGGGGGAGTGGCATATAGCACATGTCGAACGGGGTGCTTTTTTTTGAATCGTGGAAAACAGGGGGTGCATCTGTTTTTGATTATTGACATCATGTCTTTCTGAATTCGTTTATCTTTCTTTTGCGTAGAAAAAAGATTACTGATAAAATTTCGTCTGTTTCGAAAAGTTATTTTTATTCTTATATTATTTTTGAAGAGAAAGAATCGTATAGTTTCGAATCCATTTTAACAAATAATTTATCTCTTTTTAATGCATCTTTTTATAAAAAAACGAAAAACAAAACAAGAATAAAATGATAATGTTTCCCATAGTCATAAAACCTAACTAATATAACAATCGAAAAAAAACTGAATAAATAAAATAACTAAATGTTCAAAGTTATACATTCGTAAGATTATTTATTCATTTGCATGTCGTTGATTGCGTGGATTACTTGCTTGAACATAATGATAACCAACGACTAGCAAAAAGACAATTACACCGAGAATATTAGCACAGATACCCAAAACCTAATAGATAAGAAAAATTAAAAATAAAATCAGTTAAACAATTTTATCTTACTTGATCACTTTCACGAGCCATTTTATGAATTTGTTTTGTTAATTATATCAAGTTAGAGATCTGAAAACGTAGACATCAAATATTATTTTATAAAGTGATGAATTCTTTTACTAAGAACAATTTTAAATAGTAAAAAAAATTTTGTTATTCATTTTAAACATTAAAACTATTTCAGTATAATATTTAACAGCAAGACATGAAAGACTAAGTTAATTTTCAATCAAAGAAATCATATGAAACTTAATTGAACATTGATATCTGGCACGAAAGACATTCGTCGTGTCATCAACCATCAGCAAACAAATGGAAAGCGTAACGAATCATAGACGTGACACGCTAACTTTTTCATATTAACGATTAAATTTATAGGTTGATTATAAAATATTAATTTTTAATTTTTAAAATTTTAAATTATCAACAATCAAATTTATTAAAATTTTAAATGAGGTCACCACCGTCGATGTTAATCACGATAAGAAAAAAACAAACAAGTCCCCCATCAATCACTTCCTAGCGTCACTCCATATCGTGTGTTGTTGTCTCATCACTCAGTTTTCAACTATGCCTGAACAAACTCAAATTCCGCGTGTTCTTTGGGCACAACAACGTGAACATGTTTTATTAACTATTACTGTACCTGATCTTGAAAAAGTCGATGTTAAATTCGAACAAAATTCAGTCTCATTTCAAGGTCATTCATCATCAAGTAATGGTAAAGATAAAAATGCTTATGCTGTTAAAATTGATTTATTTGGAGAAATCGATCCTGAAACTAGTAAATATGAAAATGTTGGACAAAAATTTTGGCGTTTATTATTAAAGAAAAAAGATCAAAAAGCTGATTTTTGGCCACGTTTAACAAAAGAGAAACAACGTTTACATTGGTTACAAACTGATTTCGATCATTGGAAAGATGATGATGAAAGTGATGATGAAAAAGCTGGACCAGGTGGTGGCAACTTTCAAGATATGTTTTCTGGAGGTAAGAAATAATTTTAATTAAAAAATAAACTAGAAATTAAGATTAATTATTTGTTAATTTATTATTTCAGGTATGGGTGGTATGCCAGGCATGGGTGGCATGGGTGGTATGGAAGGTATGATGGGTGGTATGGGTGGTATGCCAGGTATGGGAGGCATGGGTGGTATGATGGGTGGTATGCCAGGTATGGGAGGTATGCCCGGTATGGATATGATGGGTGACGGTTCTGATGAGGAAGAAGGTGGTGATTCAGATGATGAAGAAGGATCACCAATGGCAAATCAAGCCGGTGCAAAAGCTCAGAATAAGCAAGAATCAAACAAATCAAATAATGAAACTGCTTCAACGGCAGCAAAAGGCGAACAAGAATCAGCTGCCAAAGAACAATCGGCATAGACTGCTTTTTCTTTTGTTTCTTCGTTTTTCTAATGTTGTCCGTCCATAGATATAATCGTTATTGTTGGTTTTTCATATTCTTTTATTGTTCCAAAGTTATACGATTCCGAGTGTAAAAACTAACAAGATTAAACAAGAACAGCAACAATGCTTTATTTTTTCGTTTAACTTTATTAATTCAAGATAACTATAAAGAATAATCATAGATATAACGAATGAAAGTTCTGACTTTATTTCTTTAGAAAAAATCATCGTATGTTACAATTTTTTTCTGAACGAACTCGTATTTGATTTATGAATTTCTTTTCTGATTCTCTCTACAATGATTATTTTCGACTATTTGGAGAATAAGTTACCAATTTTGGATATAAAACAAAATCGAAAGTCAGATTATATTGTTGTATTATAAAATTAATTAAAGAATCTTTTTAAGGAAGATGATATTTAAGAAAAAGGTTTCAGCAAAAATATTACAATTTTGTTTTAGTTGAATAATCATGTTAAACAAATAACTATATTATTTGTAGATAAACTATGGCACCAAAAAAAATTTTAATGATTGTTGGCGATTTCGTCGAAGATTATGAAGTAATGGTTCCTTATCAAGCTTTACTTATGATAGGTCATCAAGTCGATGTTGTATGTCCAGATAAAAAAGCAAAAGAAACTGTAGCAACTGCTGTACATGATTTTGAACAATATCAAACATATACAGAAAAACGTGGTCACAACTTTACACTTAATGCCACATTTTCGTCAGTTAAAGCTAAAGATTATGATGCATTAATTGTACCTGGTGGACGTGCACCTGAATACATTCGATTAGATAAAAGAGTTCGTGATCTTGTACGTGAATTTGATAGCAGTAAAAAACCTATTGCAAGTATTTGTCATGGTTTACAAGTGCTCATAGCAGCTGGTGTTGTGACAGGCAGACGAGTTACAGGATATAAAGCAATTGGACCTGATCTTACATTAGCTGGTGCAACTTATGTTGAAGTCGAACCAACAGAAGTAGTTGTTGATGGAAATTTAGTTACATCACCAGCTTGGCCTGGTCATCCAAAATGGTTGGCAGAATTTCTTAAATTACTCGGCACAATGATTACTTTATAAACACTGTTATCATTCTATTTTATTTTATTTTACGTATATATGTAGTCCTAGTCTTTGCATTCAGATAACCAAGCATCTAAATATATTCTTTTATTTTATTTGAAATAAACAAGAGAAAAAAAACGAACATTACTTCTTATTTTACTTTTAGAAGATGTCGAATACTGATCATGCTAGTAACATTCCATCAACTACAACAACAGCATCCACGGAAAATCAATTAGACGATCTCGTATCTCAACTTCGACAGACAATTAATAAAAGTGATTGGCTTGTACATAATACTTCTAATAAATGGGAACAAGAAAATCCTGAATTAGCTAAACAATGGCGTGAAGCTATAAAAACTGATCAAACAACTGATTCTGCAGAAGAAAAGAAATCATAAATAATGATTTTGTCAGATTCATTTTTAAGAATAAAAATAATAGAAGAATGATTTGAAATCATATTGAAGTCTGATTATATAGAAATTCAAATAGTTTAAATAATGTATTATTTTATAAGATTAGAAATAACACTTCTCCGAAGAAGTAGCATTCATAAAAATAAAACAAGATTTCCAAATAGAATTTGTTACATATACGATGAATAAAAACTACAATACAACTTCGAATAATGAATATTTATATCTTCACTATATATACGTAAATTGTACATATAATTTGAGTATTGTAGATGCAATAATGAGAATATTATTATGGCACAGATTTGCTTTTTTTTTAAAGAAGTTGAATTAAGTATTGCATTAGAATGCACACTGATTGATATTTATGTCAGTTTAAAAGCAAAGAGATCAATAACATGTGAGTTTTTTTTTGTATTGTTATAAAGCGAATATCTTTTTTGATTTGACAAACAAATACATATTAATCCTCTGCAACAATCTTATTATATGGCACGCATAGACTTTTACAGAATTCACTTTGTTGATCGTTTTTATAAAAAAAAGAATCTAAAATTAATCTGCACAAAGATCAGTATAAGAAAATTGTTGAAAAATGTTATGCATTTTTTCATTTATCTTACATTTGTTTACGAGCAAAAAATCATTTATTGAGATTTAACCTGATGTACTTTTATAAATAACAAATATTAAAAATAAAGGTATAATTTTATAAAAACACTGTTTTCCAAAAAAGAAACATGTCCAACGGATGATTTTGTAGTCGGAACATATGATATTCTTAGTACAACAATCATCGGCCTTCTAAAATTGCTTATACTGTTAAGTTAGTATCCTTTAGGTTTTCATCAAGAGGCGCACCAAGTCCTACAACTCAAGTTTTTAAATTTTGTGTAACTTTATAATCCGTTCTAATGTTACCTGAACTAAACTATACTTTAAAATATTATTTTTTGATGAGTTTTTATATATATCTCAGTATTTAATTAACATTATATCGTGAGAAGATATGAAACAATAATCTGATATGTCAAGTTCATGAAGTTATATAAATCTTATTTTGTATAACAGAATTGATATGATCGTGAATATAATAGATACAAAACTATAGATTTATAGCTTTCTACTATAATATTTATCATTTTATCTCAATAGGTGTTGTTACTAAGGTATATGTATATAAATGATCTCTTGTTTGTCTTATTATTCGAAAAAAAATTGTTGCAAACATTGACAAAAAAAAAAGAGAAACGAGACACATATATAAATGAACAAGAAAAGGGAGAATATAATCAACACCGTAACATACAAAGACAAAAGGAAAATCAAATTATGAATTATATTAATACCGATGAGGAATTTGGAAAGAAGATAGACATACATACGAAGAATTATAAATCAATCAATACATACACAAACGAACAAAAAAGGCTACATTCAAAAGTCAATATGTGAAATAGATGCTCATTCATTTGTTGAATCGAGCATATCATGTAGTAATGATACTGTTCTGTAGAAAAAATTACAAACACATAAAATTGGATAGATATAATTCGACTTCATACAAATTTTTTCAAAAAAAAAAGACGAAAAGAACATAATCGATCTAAACAGCACTGCTCAATGAGGTGACTATTAGAGGGAAAGGAAAAGAAAAAAAGAAACAAACATAGTTTTTTTTGTACAAAAGAAAATCTGATGCGTACATCATCAACTGTTTGATGCAATAACAAACGACAAAGAAAAAAAAAGAAGAAAAGCAACACAGTCAATTTTTTTTTAAAAGAAAACGCTTGACAATAAAATCCCTGATTAAAAAAAAAACACAATTTTCCGAGGCAAAAAAGAAAATGCGCACACATATTAAGTGAAAAAGTTTGGCAAGTCAATATGTTCATTCAAAACTGAAGATAAATTCTGATTATTTTTTTTTTCGATCAAATAGAAAAGATATAAGATACCTGAAATTTTTGTGCGCACTTGTGTATGTGTAAAGTTTTTTATCACTAATACAAGAGATTCAACATACATTATGAAAAAACAACAACAATAACAACAACAACAATAGCAAACAACAACAAACATCTTCAAGGTCTCTGCGAGGATTATCCTGAATATATATAAATAGGTATAAAGAAAACTGCTAAGCAGATTAAGATTTCGCTTTGTTTTTTTTTTCTGTCTTTTAAAAGACATGCTGAGCAAACATAACACATAGCAATAACGACGTTTCGTTTGTTTTTTTTTCTTGCGTTTAAAACACCAGAGAATGAAAAATAAGAAATTATAGATAGATAGTTGCACTGTGAGCAATATATATTAGAAAAAAAAGTCCCTGAAGAAAGAAATGAGAGAAAAAA